GATTTGTCAACACAGAGACTACTGTAATGACATGTGACATAATCAACACAGAGAATCCTGCAGTGACTTGTGATGTAAGCATCAACAAATAATCCTGTAGTGACCTATGACTATGACGTAAGCATCAACACAGAGAATCCTGCAGTGACCTGTGATGTAAGCATCAACACAGAGAATCCTGCAGTGACCTGTGACATAAGCATCAACACAGAGAATCCCGCAGTGACCTGTGACATAAGCATCAACACAGAGACCACTACAGTAACCTATGAGTGACATAAGCATCAACACAGAGTGAGCAGGTCGTAAGTGGGACTTTTCTTACATCTCCATTATCGGTGTTCAGATAAATACATTTCACTCCTGACCCTCAAAAGACAGTTTTTCTCAAAATATGTGCTGACTCCAATACTCCTGTTGTTTCAGGAAAGGAACTGCTTCACATACTTGAACTTGTGCAGCCCCAGATGCTCAAACCCTCCTAATGGCCATGCCACCTGCTATTCTTCTTTCTCTTTTGCAAAACAGAAGGGGACCTACAGGGGCTGGCAATCTGCCTGGTCACCAGTCACCACACCTGTTTACAGAGCTGTTTAAAGGAATGCAGACAGAGGGGACCTGGAATAAAACCTAAAGCAGCTCAAATGGAAAGTATTTGTTTCATAAATTCTGGCATTACTTCATGAACAATTGCCTGGGCTTGTTCTAATGCTGGGGGGGAGGGGCACATATTAACCCATAAAAGTGATAGAAACATATCCAATCCATTTGCTTAGTTGGCCCTTGCATCCAACTGTCTCCATCAGCAAGGGAGGGGCACATATTAACCCATAAAAGTGATAGAAACATATCCAATCCAGTTGCTTAGTTGGCCCTTGCATCCAACTGTCTCCATCAGCAACAGAAAACAAGCTTCCTTCATTTAGCTTGCCAAAGCCAGGTAGTAAAGGTCATGAAAAAAAATATATAGTCTGTAGAGATTTTATGTAATTTATTTATTCTCTTCTCATGCCTGTGGTCAAGATTTTACTTGACTCTAAAGCGGTCCTCAAATCTAAACATTCATTAAAAATATTAAAGTGGTTTTTCTTCTGTCATAAAGTTCCATCCTTCCAAATTAAAAAAAGGGGGAAGAGGAGGAATCATATAAAAGGCAACAGAACCCCCAATGTCACAAACTTGAGAACCATTTCCCATGTTCAAGAACTCGAGCTGTCATGCTGTGCTGCGTAATTTTGGGCATATTCAAGCTCTCTGACACCCAATTCACACTGGAATAGCAGCTTTTATGTACAAAATTGTTACAGGGTTCACAAGTTAGAATTCATAAAGCCGGGTACACAGTAAGCACTTGTATGTTTCTGCTGGTATTACTGTTACCAGTTCAGAATATTGGCTTTTACTAGTCATTTCCACACAGAGAATCACTGTCACTGTCTATCATGACCATATATTTCTAGTACAATAAAGGGAGACTTTACCCACTTCCAAACCCATAACCAAGGCAAGCATTAGACAAATGGTTAAGTTGATAAGCTGGGACTAACAAGCTAAAGCCAGTGAGACAGGTGGTGAACAAAGAGACTTCAGAAATCCTCGGCAGCATGTAGATTCTGTCTAACAGTGGGCTTGGGAGAGACCTTGATTGTTGTGCTCTGTCACAGAGAACATTACTTATTAACAAGAAACTCATCAATAAATAAGAGTCAATACTATGTACTCATGTTAGAATTCTGAGTGTCCTCATTTTGTTTGTTTTTCTATACCTCATTTGGTTTACTGCAAAGACCATTTTCTTAATACTGTAATAAAAATAAGGGCCAAAAGATGTTTGTTTGAGTCCAAGATATTCTGAGGCTCAGTAATAAGGCCTGCTGTTTATTGCGAAGGGAACAGAGCCTCGGAGGCAAGAGTCTCACAGCCACTTTGGCCCTGACCTCTTACCTTATTCTCCATGTTCTGTTTTATAACTTCCTGCACCAGCACATCCGCCAGGGTCTTGAAATCTGTTGCAAACTTCTTGTTTTTCTCCTCATCTTTCTTCTCCTGGATGAGCAGCTGGAATAGGGTTTCCTGCTGCCGGCATGCCCGGGCGATGTTAGCAGCCTTCTCGGAGACACGGAGCAGTTCCTTGAGGATGTCTGACATTTCTGAAGCCTCACCCACCCTCTGGCTCTCGGCTGGAAATGCATAAGAATGTGAAAGAGAAAGCAGTTCAGAGTGGAGTCGGGGTGCCTCTCCCACTAACACCAGGCTGGCAGCAACCTGTCAGCATGGCTGACCCGCTAGTGAATACCACATTTTCAGCTTAAAAGACAGGAGTTACAATCTAAATACCAAAACTTATTTCTCAAATCTTGCAAAATAATTACACTCTCAAGAAGAGCCCATTATCCAAAGAACTGAATTTTCAGTGAAAGGAAAAGAATCTTTGAATAAGAATCTATATTCCAGAGCCCTAGGGAGACAAAGTGTCACATCATTGTAAAAGGAAAGTCAGATTCTTGTTTCGCATAATTGTGTGACTGGAACAGCACCGTCTCTGTGGGAAGGGTGAGGGGTGACATTCACACTGCTACCTCCATGTGGTCAGTGGCAGAGCAGCAAGCACTATGTCCTGCAGGACTCTGCAGCCACTCTTTGGCTACAGCATGAAGCACATCACAGCCAACTCCACTAAAAACATTCCAGTGACGCGTGCCAGCCTCCACCAAGTAGCAGCCTGCACAACAACATGAGGGGAAACTTTCAACTTGCCAGGACTCAAGAAGTTCTGGGTTCTAAGAGCCATGTACTATGCATATCTCTCTCTCTCTCCTCCCTCTCTCTCTCCCTCTCCCTCCCTCCCTCTCTCTCTCTCTTTCTCACACACACACACACACTCTCTCTCCTCCCTCTCTCTCTCCCTCTCCCTCCCTCCCTCTCTCTCTCTTTCTCTCTCTCTCACACACACACACATCTATCTATATCTATCTATCTATCTATCTATCTATCTATCTATCTATCTATCTGTAGCCCTGGCTGCCCTGTAGACCAGGCTAGCCTTAAATTTAGAGATTCTTCTGCCTCCCACCTGCCTCCTACGTGCTAGGATTAAAGCTGCCACACCCAGCTGCCAATGTCTTTCTACTGGACCTGCCTTGAAATGCTTTCACTTAGCAACAGTGTCTTATTCAAGTGTGAGTCGCCCGCTTCCATTGAGAGAGAACTGCTGTGATGATCATCTGCCCTGTGTTACAGTTCCGGAATGAAGCTTAGTGGGTTGAGTAACTTCTACAGGGTTACACAAGGCTGAAAGGTGGGGCTCGGAATTGCTCATACACAACACTAGGGTTCTTTATTGTCACAACAGTTTCCTCTATTAAAAGAAGCTTGCAGCTGAGAACTCACTCAGCCATGAAGATGCTGATGCAGGGGTGTGGCAAACTGTTACAGCCAGTGTGTCTTAAATTTGCTCACATTTTTTTTTCCTTATGGTTCACCTCTTGAGGAAATACCTCCTCAACAGAAATGAAGGAAAGGTGAATAAAACAATGAGACATCCCTTCTCAATTTTCTATTTCTTTTACCTTTGGTGGTCATCTCTGGAGGTCAGCAGGATGACACTGGTCCTGGAAATACAGCTCCCAAGGAGCTGCTGACATAGCTGCAGCAAATCCCCACCCATGACCCCCTCTCACCAGTTAGCAAATCTCTTTCTTAGCTTAATCTATGGTAAGAAAATGAGAATTAAAACAGTTTTATGCAAGGTGGACTAAAGTTATAAAACGTAAGACAGACTTTAACTTTTCTTTTGAGGCAGGTTTGTAGGCTGAGTTTCCTTGTCCCATAGCCACTCTCAAATAATCACTCAGAGGCGTAAGTAATATTAATTAAAAATGCTCAGCCAATAGCTCAGGCTTGTTACTAGCTAGCTCTTACACTTAAATGAGCCCACATTTCATTCTATGCTTTGACATGTGGCTTTTTTCAGTAGGTGTGCCCATGTTGTGGCACACTCTGTGCCTACCGGCGACTCCTCTAACTCTACCCTTCCTCATCCAATCATTCTCAGTTTGGCTTTCCTGCCTAACTTTATCCTGTTCAGCTATTGGCCAGTCACCTTTTTTTATTAAACCAATCATAGCAACACATAGTCCCACAGTGTACAGAGGGTTATTCTACAGCACGCTTCTCACATTGTCCAGGCTGCCTCACACTTGCTATGCATCTGAGGATGACCCTGAGTGCTGACCTATGAGGGCTGGGGAGCAAATGCAAGTCCACAGGCTTGTGAACACTTTACTGAACATCTTATCATTCCTAACCCCCAAAACCTTAAATATTGGTAAAATGTAAGAACACTGTGTGGCCTGTAAATAATGCTTTTGGGGGATGATTAATAAGGAAAAAAATGAATGCTATAATATTAAGTACAAAATGACCTATGACTATATCTATCTACACACATATATCATTATGTTATTAATTTTAAAATGAATGCTATAATATTAAGTACAAAATGACCTATGACTATATCTATATCTATCTACACACATATATCATTATGTTATTAATTTGGGGGGACTAATAGGTCATGCTTTTAAGGTAGTCAATTTATAGAGTAATTGTGGATGACTTAGTTTGATTTTTCCATAATCAAATATTCTACAGTAAATATGTAGCACATACAATTTATGTTATACATTATAATTCTATAAGAAATGATATTATTTAGTGTTTTGAGTGTTGGAAATATGTGACTGGTGACTGAACCTTGAGGTCTTGCACTTGCTAGCCAAATGTTTTATATTGAGCTTTCTCCCTAGCCCTAACTTTTTGATATGTGATGCAGGTCATGCTAACTTGCCCATGCTAGTCTTCAACTGGATATATAGTCCAGGCTGACCTTGTACTTCTGATCTTCTCACCTCAGACTCCCAAGTAGCTGGGATTGCAGACCTGTACCACGAAGTCCACCTAATAAATGACATTTAAAGAAACTAAAAATGAATCTATAAGAATTCCTAGGCTCCTTGATGGAATGGTCCAAGCAAAATGTACCTACAATAATAACAAAACTTCATGGATCTATATGCTAATACAAACAGAAACTCAAGCAACCACAGTATCTTACAAGGCTTTATTCCCATACTCAATCCTGTTAGCAGATTCACTTTACTTTGATGTGGACCTATACATCAATAAAAGCAGCATTCGTATAGCAAACCCACTTAAACTCAGAAATCATGTCACAAATAGTAAATAATAAAACACATACAGAATATTTCACTATAACTCAAGAGCCACAAGAATATAAATTCAGTGACCACAACTTTTATTAGCAAACGTTCTGCATTATTGTAAGAGGAAAGAGTCAATGAACCAACAGTACCTACGGTCCTTCTTATTTAGAAGCAGCACGGGGACATAAAGTTCACTTTGAACTTGAGCAGATACACATCAATTGTTTATCACATTCAATGACTTTAAAACCAATGCCCTCCCCTCCTTTTAATCCTAAAAGAAAACCCTATACCAGTTACACTGCTGGGTAAGCTTGGCACCCTTGCCTCTAAAAACCCAGAGGTCTAGTCCTGGCTTACTGTAGCTAGTGGTCATTTTCCCTACCTGAGCAGGTGTTACTTAGTAAGTACAGGAGCTGGCCAAGAAGAAAGAACTTTCAGCTGTGAACTGTGATACACAGCAGGGTGGGCTCTAGAAATTGACAGTACCGCACCTGGGTTTTCAGGGCCTCAGTCACCCTTCATCAACCTTAGCCTCTTTTTCTTCTGGCCCAAGAAACCACTCGTCACATTTTGCCAGGCTCCAGGTGGTTCTGGGTTCCTTGCCCAGTTCCAGTTGAGATTTTTCTCCAGCCAGCCTAACCAACATAGCACTTCTCCGGCTCATTCCCTTTCTCTGGGTCCCAGGGTCCCTAGAAAACCACCTCCCAAAGCATACATACAAAGACTTTCTAAATCTCTGGCAGTGTTGCAAGTTTGTAGTCCTTGCTTTTTGGGACATGGAGGCAGTAAGCCTAGGGGTTTGAGGCCATCTGGGACAATATAGAAAGCCCCTTGTCTCAATGAACAAGTTTACAATTAGCTAGCTGACCTACTACTTTCTGGTGGGAAATCTCATCTCTTCCCCCAAAGTCACCCTTGTTGGCCTCTGTGAGCTCCTTCCTTATCTCTGTCCATTTATCTTGAGCTCATTCATGCAGGTAAGAGAATTGCCTCAGGCACTTTATCCTTACCTGAACACTTGAGGCAAGTTGTTATGAAAAGAACCAGGGGCAACACCAGCACACAATTTCTTCAGTTTTCTATGGAAATTATCTTTCAATCACTTTAAAAAGCTAATTGAGTTTATACAACCATTATTTACCTTACACTTTATTTGGTCCCGCTTTTGGCACATGGTGTAGGAATCTTAGTGGAACCTTATAGGGAAGATGACTCATGTGCAGGGTTAGGCAAAGTTTGTTGTAGGTAGTGGTGTTTTTATTTTTAGGTGTGTGTGTGTGTGTGTGTACGTGAGCGTACACACTCGAATACACATTAGAAAGTAAAGCCCTGAGCAAGCCAGGTAAGTATTCTACACTAAGCCATATTCCTGGTTCTTGGATTTTGAGTCAGGCTAGCCTTGAACTCAATTTGAGCCATGTCACTATTTAATTGACAGTCGGTTTCCCTTTACTCTCAGAAATGTCTTTTCTCATGAACTAGTGAAAAAAAGCTGGTGTTCATACTCACTGTGAAGTGCTCACTAGTAAGATACATGTTCACAATCCAGTGATGTCTCTCTTACCCAGCTGCATGACACCGGTGATGGGGCCAGATCAGCTTGGATCATAACAGATACCTAATTCTTTTTTTTAAGATTTATTTATTTATTATGTATACAGTGTTCTGCCTGCATGTGTGCTTGATAGCCAGAAGAGGGTACCATATCTCATTACAGATGGTTGTGAGCCACCAGATGGTTGCTGGGGATTGAACTCAGGACCTCTGGAAGAACAGCCAGTACACTGAACCTCTGAGCCATCTCTCCAGCCCCA